AGTCTTTGAAATCTGATGTGAGAAACTGGTGGCCTAAGAAGGAGGTCAATTTTCAGATTTTCGTCTGGGATTTAGACATGCAATGCTGTATAGTTACTGAATCAAACATATACATATAATACATACCAATGATGAGTTTTAAATCCCATTTTGAGCACAACAGCAGAATAATACTTTTTTAAAAAAAGGAAAGCATTGTTGAGGAAGCTTATAAATTACATTTTCTTACAAGCCCGAATGACACCTTATTAAAAAGAAATATAATTCCCCGTGCACTAGTATAACAAAGTGGTCCAGATTACCTGGAACACACTTGTGGGATACTATTAAAAGCATGTAGAGTCTGAGTGCCCTACAAAAGCTAAGACAGGTGCTATTAAGGCTTAGCTGACACAAATAAAAGGGTATATATGAATTCCTCTGTTAAAAGCAAAATACATACTGTAGGAACAGGATATCCAAACCCAGTTCAGTAAGTCTAAGTTGAAATTTCCACATCTGTTCTTATTAAAACAACTGAGTTGGCACAATAAAAGACAACACATCCCACACTGTTTTGAGATGAATGGTGAGAAACCAAGTGATCCCTGTGCTAAGAAGAAACTATTAAACCAAGGTGGCTTAAAAATTAATTTCAATACAGTACTGTATAACCTTCATACTTCATCTGGCACAGGAGGCGTATTCTTGCATGAATATGAATGCAAGAGCAGCAGAAATCTGAATTGCACAGGAGGGCACGTTGATCTATATCAACAGGATTGCTCTTTTGTGGCCCTCAATCCAATCAGGTTCTAGAAGGATCAGTTTGCTTTCCAAACAGGTTACATTAACATTAAAATAAACACCAGTTTCTAAAAATATTAGCTTTTATACCTTCAGTTCTTTTGTTTTTTGTAGTTGTGGCAGCCCAGAGGATTCCACACAGAAAATCAAACCAAAACCCAAACTCTAGCTTTCCCCCTCTGATCAGCAGTTGTGATCTATAGCGTTGTTTACATGTTAAAATTGAGCCATTAAAAACTGATCAGATGTTACTACCATCATAACCCAATGACTTTCAGATGAACAGAGTATTACACCAATTACCTAGAGCAAATTCTTACCATCAACTAGAAAAATAAATTTTGAGATAGATATTTACACAGATTTGTTATTTCATGTTGCTTAATAAACTTTCCCCCTAGTCAATATTCCTCTTCTTTTGCACCTGTGATTAACTTTTCAAGTCACAAAAACTGACTGTGCTTCATAAGCAAAAACTAATCAACCCCAGAGTCTGGCGACTCCCTTGTTAGGCCCAAGTCAGCTGCCATAATGCACTGAGCAAAGTTTCACAATTTTCAGAACTCTTAATCAGAATGAAGAGCAGCATGTGGAACAACAGCAACAGATGAAGAATTCTGCAAAATGTACATGTTTGCTCACTCTTCTCATTATAGACCATGATCAAGTCCTGCTAAATTAGAATTCAAGTAATTGCCACAGTATCTTACTGTCGGCCATGTCAACTACAAATCGCAACTCAGCTATGAAGCAGACCAAGTGTGCTTGGGCAAGTCACTTATTCCCAGCCTTTCCTACAGCAGAAGATTGTTTTAGGGATAAAATGAGAGGAGGCTGGAAATCATGTATATTAGCTGATGTTTTCTGAATGAAAGACAGGATAAAAAGGTAATAAATAAATGCAATATTTAAGCATATACTGTAGTGTTGCCACAGTGAAAATAATCCAAAACTTAAGCACAGGTGCTTAGGACAGTGACACTAATAGCCAGTGATTTGAAATATTTTTTTAATCTCACACCCAGATGCGTTTGACAACTAATAAGAGTCAATACTGCAAATGTCACAAGACTTAAGTGCACCAGCCTTATACTTGAGGACTAGGTACATCATAGTTTTCACATGGATTCTGTCATTCTTCCCATGAATAGCAGGGTTGAAACTGTCCTTCCCCATTCTCCTTTCTCCGGTAGACTTCTAACCTGGCTACCTCACAATAATTACAGATTTTTTTGAGGTTTGCCAACTGAATTCTTGCCTAGTCATGCATAAGTTGTTTCATCCAGAGCCAAGACATTCCCACTGGACTGAGTTTTATCTCCACACATCAGAGCTTTTTTCCCCGCCAGACTGAAAAAAAGAGCAGACTATGCTAGTGATTTTACCACTGTTTGGTCCTGGCTCAGCAAGAGTTTGATTTGTGGTTTCCTCCATCATTTCTCACATCAGCTGCCAACATTTCCTAATGGGAATGTACAGACTGTTCATTACACTCACTGTCATTAAATCACTAAGCCCAGTTTTTAAATTTCAAAAGGTAAAAACTGCAAGGGTTCTGAGGTACAGTCACGGTGCTTAAAAAGATTGTTAAACAACGACTTGCTTTCTTCTAGACAAAGAAGTTTGTGAAGCATCAAAATGAGCATCCAGAATATGAAGGTTTCTTGGCTGCAATAGTAAGTGTTCGACTGTAACTGATGGGATTAATACACAGGCATAATGGAATACAAAGTTGCAAGAAATGGGTGTGTGCGTATATATCCTTCTTTCATCTATCATCTTCCTGCTTGAAAGAAACTTCAATGATTGTCAGCAAAAGCCTGCCAAACAGACGACTCCAAATGAAGTGCTGTTGTACAGCTGTGTCATAAGGTTTCATGCTTCTGATGACAGTTATTCAGAATGCTTTGGACATATCGCACGTCACAACAAATTGTTGTTTTCTGAGCATCCATTAAGCTTTTGTTACTCTTTCATTTCTTTTGTCTACACTTTTGGGGATTATCTTTTGCTTGTGTTTCCCTTTAGTATAGTATTACAGATTCCCTTCCATCCCAGGTAGATCAAAATTATAAAAACAAACTAGTCATGGCTGCCTGCAGACTCCTGTCAGCTGAAAGATTATATATGAGCAATGAGATAACTATACCATCACTATTTTGAAAAATATAGAATGCTTCTACCAGTAGCATATGCGTGCAGGTAGTTTCCTTTCAAATAAAGGAAACTGAACAGTATGGAGGCTGGAGACAGTTGATATCCACCACAAATTCTTATTTTACAACTGCCCTACCAGCAAACAAGGACCAAAATCTGACAATGCAAGCTACACAATGTACAATGAAGCTTTTGTCACACAAATATTTCCTTGCATAAAAGAGACAGCGGGACTTACCAGGAGACACAGATGAGAGGAAGCTAGTTAGTGCACTTTAGGGGAGAAGGAAGCAAAAATATACTGCCACTATAGAATCCACCCATACAGTGCTGAAAGGCTTAGAACCAAAGGCAAAGTTTCAGCACCAGAACTGTAGTACATTAGGTATAAAACAGAATGGAAACAATATCTAGAGAAAGCTCCTGAGGTCTTAGCAAAATCATGCATCAAGATATTCACCCACCTAAGGTTATGGATAAAAATCAAATTATTAATTTATCACTACAAAGAAGGACATTATGACTTCTGCTTTTAGAATTTGCTCCACAAAACTCTGTGTATTATTTTCTATGCAAAATTTTAAATGTCCAATTTTCTCTATAATTGAAAACTTATCACTGTGAACTAGAAAAGTATACTTGCATCACAATTATATACTTCTTTTCCAAAACGATGCTAAAACAATTTATATCCACCATGCTGAGTGCAGCCTAGAAGCTGAAAATCAATGGTGGCATGAATGGGTGGATCCATTTTCAGGCCAGTAACTGAGTTGTGTTCTACAGCACTGGTTCTTAACCTTGGGTTACTCAGGAGTTTTGGACTGCAACTCCCAGAAGCCTTCACCACCAGCTGTGCTGGCTGGGGTTTCTGGGAGTTGCAGTTCAAAAGCATCTGAGTAACAAAGGTTAAGAACCACTGTTCTACAGGACAGCTTTATTACAGATTTAGCTTATGATTGAAGTTTTGCCCTTCTCTTTCTCTTGAGGTGCCAAAAAGAGTTCTACTTTAACTTTAAATATGTAGTGCATTAGAAAGCAAAACGGAAAGCCATTTGTTATACCTTAAAACCGGAGTTTACAATATGCCTTAAATCTTTGCAAAAAGACCCAGCTAAAGATTCAAGTGACAAATTAAAGAATCTCTTAATTTTGAACACATATTTTCAGCAACGGCAATTAGGATAAGGGTTAGTAAAAGAAAAATGTCAATTTCTGCCTATGTTTTAACCTCACAAAACTCGTCCATCACTGAAAACTAAGAATCCAATCCACAGAACCCTGTAAGAAAATGTATAAATGGTATAGACTTGAAGTAAAGAAGACTTTGTGGTAAGCAGAAATCATTCAGTTACAAAATGACTACTACTACTACTACCACTACCACCACCACTACCACTACTACTACTACTACTAATAATAATAATAATAGTGTGCTGTCATATCAATTCTGACTTATGATAACCCTTTCCATGGTTTTCTAGGTACAAAACATACAGAAGCATTTCACCATTCCCTTCTTCTGAGGACACACTGGGACGATGCAGCTTGCCTATGACAGGCTGGCTCTTCTTTCTGGAAGCACAGTAGGGAATGAAACTCCCAGCCTCTGGCTCCACAACCAGATACTTAAACCACTAAGATATCCAGCCAGCAATGACTACACATAGTTAAAACACCTTTAAAATAATTACCAGATTTTAGCAAGCTGCTTTGTGAATTTTATCATACTTAGCACATGCTAAGGAAGTAATTGTAAAAAAGAAAATGTAACTGTAAGGATGTTAATAAAGGATCAGACAAATGTACCTCTTTGGAAGACTTGCATCTCATATTTACTATGCTTCTTGTAGCCCTTTTTCTTACTGACCACAGGTTTTTATATTTTACTTTGGCTTATCACCCATCACCAGTCCACTGAGATTTACAGCATTTTTATAACTAGTTTAGATAGTGAACAGAACATTTATTTTAGGAAGCTGCTCTTAAAATGAAAGAAAATTCTAGTATATTTTGATGAGCCACGCTCTTTGCTCATCACACCATTTAATACTCACCAGCTGATATTCGCTTCGACGACTGAAAGCTTCCTTGATTCCAGAATCCATCCACAGGCCAGTCAGAGCAGGTACATATAACTGGAACAGAGAAGGCTCAATTGGCATCCCAGCTCTATTTTCAAATGCCATTAAGAACATTCCATGCTTCTCATTTTCTGTGTATTGCCAAGGGATGCCTAGTTTGTCCCGTGCATCAACTAGAACTCTGCAACCCTAAAGAAGAAAAAACATAGTAATAGTTAATTTTTTTAAAAAAAAATTGACTATGCAAATACAAAAACTGTATGAAACTGTATAAAATTTAGGGTTGAAATAGCAGTTAAAATAATTACAGTACCTATTATTTGTAGGACATTTGATCAGAATCAAAGCCCAGAACATCCTTATAGAAGTGTCTTAGTTTCACCTGATTGCAAGGGGAAGGGTTCATGAAGGAAGGTTCAGTGGTTATACAGATATAAACTCAAGGAGTAAGCATCCACTGTCCTGGAACTCACCCTTCTCTTCCTCACTATCTTTCCCCTTTCCAATTTGTTTACACATCCTATCTTTTTTGACTCGCAACTCTGAATATGAAGAACATTATGTATGCCTGGAAACATACTGTGACAAACCCAGACCTACTGGGATATGCCACAGTTTCACTAAGCTGCCACCAACCATTCCCTATAAGAAGTCACACAGACCAGGGATGGATTTTTAACAAATAAAAGAACAACGTTTATTAAATAACACACAGGGAAAAATAAAAGGATCAAGTGAATAAGATACAGTAACGTGGCTTAGTCTCAATCATGCATACACACAGTTTGGTTCACACAGAACACTTAACTTGAAGCACAGACCCTGAACCTATCAGTTCTGGCTAACCATACAGACACCTGAACCTATCAGGTTGGTACTGACTGACACACAGTAGTACCCTGTCTGACACACAGACTCCCACACCAGCTTCTTCTTCCCAGCTGCTCCTTCAGCTCCTCCAGCTTCTCAACTTCTCCACACACGCTCCACATATATATACAGTACAGCCCCTCCTCCTGATGTCCCGCCTTCCACTCCCCATAGGATGGAACTTTCCCTCCAAACCCATGACAGACAGGTAACATCAGTGCTGTATGTAACACATACCACTTTAGATACCACTATATACCAAATCCTACTGCTTGTGTAGCTCAAATGGAACAATGTTTGGTGCCGAAATGCACCAAGTTACAAAATCAATTTAGACATTATTTCCAACATATAGAGATGTGAAATTTGGTACAATACTGCTGCACGATACTTACTTTCAGCA